ACACTATAGATTGAACGATAGTGACGAATTAAATCGAGATCCCCCAAGCAATCTCCAATTTTTTTTTTTTTTATCAGGCGACAGTATCAAGATGGTTGCGCAATATTCCAGTGGCAACGAAATATCTCGTCAATTAAAAGTATCAACTCGACCATAGGGTCGATAATTTACGGATAAATAAGACTAGCGATCGGGTACGGAAGTTTTCATGATCCTCGCGTAACGAGTAACTATTAATTTCCCGGAAAATTACGGACGGTCGGTGTCTCGACGAGCTTTTGGGGGGAGGTTGGGGCACTTCTCGAAGGGTGGCCTGGTTCGTGGATCGTGCCGATATCTGAGCTATAATCGAGCTCGTGGAGGATGAGCTTAATTCGTCGCTAACTCGATACATCGACGGGCTTGTCAACAAGTCGAGCAGCCCGTCATTTAATTACGTAACAAGGCGGATCGTAATTCGTGGCTCTTCGTTTCTCCATTACGTAGCCACCGCCGACGGGACTGAGTTGTTGGAGGAAGGAGTGGGACGAGGGAGGGTGGAAAGCCTGACCTTTGACCTGAACGGCCATGATACATCTTGCAAAGTATTGCGTTTAAGGGTGGGCACCTTTATACGCAGAATTATTGGAAGAAGTGATTTATAAGAAAGGAGCTGGTGGTTGCCGTTAAAAGAAAAGTGATAGAGAGATCAATTTTTGTGCAATAAATCTGGACCTCATTTTTCTGTTGTGATCCTTACAGTTGGTCTGTAAAAGTTTAATTCTTATTTTGTATAATGTATCGCTTAAAGAAGTTAGGAATTATTTATGTATTTTACGAGTCAAGAAATTGAGAAATTTCCTGATTGGTAAGGTAGTCTGCCCTGTTGATAAGGGTCGGCAATGTAGAACTTTGATTGATGGATGAACTTAACAGTTGAGCATTCTATATTGCCAATAGAGCGAATTCTCTCGTCGACTGAGTGTTCTATATAACCGATCCATAAAGGAATTTAAATAATACAACCCTGTTCATTGGTAACTTCACCCTATTACAAACAATTCTTATAATACACTAGATATTAAAAGCTTCTAATGCTTTGACCCCAAATACTTTCTAAACTATTAACTGGAACCAAATCAAATCAGATATCCAAGTTTCATCACTATCCAGAAGCTCATTTAAATATTGGCTGACCCCACGTAGAAACTCTGCGCGCAAATAAGGATGTCTCTGCTTACACGAAACTGTAAAAAGGCTGCCTTGGATTTCGTTCGATCCCAAGTCTCCATCCTTTAAATTTCTTAAGTAATCGTTAAAGCTACTACACGAGTCGGTTAGTTAGGCGAACGAAGAGATATTGCGTTCGTGTGTTGCTCTACAAGGCGTCGTGTTCCTCGTGGCCGTTCGAGGATCGCTCTGGCTGAATATTCAACAGCCTTTTCGCGTTACACACTGGCTTCGATGTTGGTGCAACGGTTGTGTACGTGTGTACACGCGCGCGCAAGGGAACGCCATCGACCACTCTGACCAGCTGCAAGCTCGGCTGCATAAACAGTCCACTGTCCACAGCAGGGTCGCTTTGGCATCGCCACGCTACCGTTTCAGGTCGATGTGGGTCACGCTTGCCACGTGACTGTGTGTGTGTGTGTGTGTGTGTGTGTGTGTGTCCTTAACGAGAAGAGACTAACTACTAATGTCAAAGAACAGAATTCTGCAATTTAAAGTCACTTAAGTCGACAGTCTTCAACTTTAGATGCCATCGAAACTGATACAGTAAATATCATTTTTTCTAGAATTCTAGTACGGACATAATTCATACTAGACATTTTTTTTAAATTTCAAGATGAAATGTCTTGAAATGTAAATTTAGGTATTTGTGATATTTGTTTAAACACTTAGTTTTTGTTATATTTGTATTATATTTACTTTTTAAGTAACGGAATGACAGCAATATAACTAGAATTTAATAAAATAAAATTTTTTTGATGAATACTTTACATTACGATTTAAAAATAAGAAAGACAGAATATAAAAATAGGTTATTCGAACGAGGTAACAGGAATCAAAAATCTAAATTTATATAAAAATATTCAGCGAACCTAGAATAATATTTCTAACGGGATTATATTTGACTTAGAATTTAGATAATAAAATAACCAATGTTAGCGATGAATCTTAGTCTACAATTAAAATTCTCGACTTTTCAACAATTTAAAATTGTTTGGCAGCTCGAAAAGATATATGATACCCTATGAAAATATTTAAATACCGATGCTTTTTCCAAGGTAGAAAGGTTGCGCAACAGTAATTTGTTGCATCAACTGGAGAAATAATTTGCGTCTAAAAAAAAGTCACGTAATTACAGGAATCCCGAAACTTCGTTCGGATATGCTCGCTGAGAAACGTTTTATACATCAAAGAGATAAAATTAAATGCTTTGAGTGACCTGGCTACGTTCGAAAACTAGTTTATGTTATTCGTGCCGTACGCAGCAAACAAATTTAATTATTTTCGTCCGGAGAAATTCGCCGAAATGTAAATTGACTGAAAACTGGACGAACGTAATTATTTTGATATTTGTTTCGAAGTCGCGTGCTTTGATACGGACAATTATTGTGCATATATAATACGAATTTATATGAATTCAATTCAGTTGATATCTCTGAATGAGAGAGAGAGAGAGAGAGAGAGAGAGAGAGAGAGAGAGAGAGACATTCTACATATTTACGTAAGGGACTGAACATTTGAAATTTAATTGAACTGTGATAAATAACAAATATTCGGAATTGTGAGACTCTCTAAAAATTTGTAAACTACTCTTTCACTCTTTTTGTAAACACTCTACCTCGGTATAAATTAATTAATAATTAAGAAACTGTGAAATATTTTTAATAACTATAGTATTAAAGCATCACTATTGTATCGTAAGTATGAGCCCACTTTTTTGTTTAGAGAGACGACAATGCATACAGGCATTATTCAGTATTTTCTAGAACAATTCCTTTCTCTGTTGGTACCAATCGAAATCAAGGACAATAGACAGAGCAGAATTGGTGAGCAATCTCATCCACACATTTCTCTCGACACTGTTCGGCAATTGGCGGCCGCGAATCGGGGCAAAACCGGCTAACGAAGCGCAGGATACCGAAAACGACCTTGAACTTTCGGCCCAATTGCATGGGCGATTGCGAAGATAAATCTTCGACCACGAAACGCCATAACTGCATTACGCGAAACCGACGATGGATGGATGCAAAAGACCGAACGGGGCCAATGGAACGTCAATAATTTATTGTTCTTCGAATTATTGAAGAAATCTCACCACTATTTTTCGTTATTCATTTCTATGTTTCGTGCTGGGACAACACTACTCATGTTATGGCAAAATACAAGTTATCGTGTTATTCGAATGTGACGAGAAAGATATTGTCAAAACCTGAATAACCTTAATATAGTTTATACGTATGAAAAAAATATATAAAATAGAAGAAAGAGATATCATCAAAATAAGCTAGGATAATTCCTCCCAGAAATTGATATTCTCAATAAACAAGTGGGCTTGGCAATCAGTTTTGAAAACGAGAAAAATACTCTAGGTGAAATAATATAATAAAAATTTCTTCAAATAGTATGATTTATACTTGTTTTGCGATAAAACCCACTAGTGAACGGCCAAAAACAAGATAAGACCGCTGTTCAGGTACACGAAGACATTAGAAGAAGCGCAAACAGACAAATAAAAACAACATTATGAAGGAGAAACGACGGAGACCGAAGTGCAGGGGACAACAACGGAAAAACGTGAAACGAGAGAATAAAAGCTGGGAGTTTCGGATAAGCTGGTGTAAATTTTGTGAATTTGCGGTTTCCGAGCACACTCCGTTAGTTATATCGATTGGATCTAACTCGATCGTCCGAGGGCCGCTAATGAACTGTTTCTCCGTTCTCGACGATCGCACTGAAAACTCTCTTTGTGGCGGGACCAGCGGACGAGTTAATAAAATTGTCAAACGAACGTCATCGGGAGAACGTGGCTCGGCCCGAGTACTGATTCAACTCTGACACTAAAGCGTGTTTTAAAGCTGGGGGTATTCTTATCTAGACCATACGCGAGAAACATTTGAAAAGACCGTCCACAATGGATCTTCGTGTCGCGGATACCGGAAGCGAACAATGACCACAGTTTTAACATCGTGGCGCAGAGTCAACGTTTTGATTCGATGAGGACACGTGACTTTGGTACGATAGTTGGCAGAATAACGAACAGTATTGGTAGAAAGTTCAGGCAGGTAATAAGGTTAAGGCAAGAATTAAGATAAAAGTACCGTGTACTTAATATGTTCACTCTCATTTATATTTCATTCTTGCCTTCATTATTATTTTAGCTTTTAGGTTTAAGCTTAAGCTATGCTTTGATTACAGACGTTAGAATGATAATAAATATTTACTACTTAACATGAGTTACTTAACATGAGTTCATCTTTAGATTGAGAATTTTATCGTCAAATATGTGGCAAAATAGATTTCTCAGATCGAAGACAATATTTTCAACGATATTCTTTGTGGGAAATGCGAGAAATGTGAGACCATGCTTTGAGATCAATTCCTAAAGCTGATACAAATCAAAAGTCTCTTTTTTATTTTTCGATACGAAGCTTCGTTATGGAGATAGAAGTTCTTAGTTAAAGTTGTCGCTAGCGTAAATGCGCGGAAACATGGCGCCAACAAATGGCGCGTTCCAAGAGTTACATTAGTAACATTTAATTGTTTGTATCTAGGTAACGGAGCTTCGAATTGCAAAATGTTAAAGGACTTTTCGCTTTCTTTTTGCATGAGGATTCGATTCTTAATAAAGATTACTTATTTGAGCTAATAATTCTATGTACAGTTGGGCTGTGTACACTTTAAATTTGAATAATATATATATGATCGTTAATAGTTCCAACGTTAAGCTTTGACCAAAATGAATATTCAACTCGTCAGTTACGAATAAAACAGACAAATAAATAAATATTTACCTGGCATTGCTGTGGTCCCTGTCTGTTGGGCGACGAGGCCTTCGGTCTCGGTTTCTTCACGCCCAACTTTCCAGGATCACCGGCACCAGGTCTCGACTCCTCGCTACTACCTGAAACCAAAGAAGAAGACCCCAGTGAGGTGCCAGGTCGTTTGCTTTTCGTCACGGTTCGCTACCACTCCACGACAAATCGAACATCCTGATAAATCGAGACAGCGCCCGACGCGAGCGAGCCACGGAAGAAACTCGTTTTCCTGTTCCGTCGAACGGAGGGATGAAACCATTACCTACACCGTTTCGAGGCATCTGCGATCCACGATCGACAACTTTTTACGAGGCCCGTGCGAGATTTCGCCCCAGAAGCTCTCACACAGCGACCGTTCACTGGTTCTATCGTCCGCTAGAAGGAAGGAAGCGAGTTTCTTCGGGGCCTTCGACTTATGGAAGATTGATTGCACGCCGTGTCTCTTTTTGCGCGCGATACAGGATACACTTAATGGCCGATTGGCCCGTCGTCAACATCGATCGAGGCCTCGACGAAGAAACGATCCAGAGGCGACTGGCTCGTCACCGTGCATCGCTCAAGGCCTCGTGATTTATAGATGAAAACGTCAAACTCGTTTTAAACTTGCTCGCGTCTGCGTTTGTATCGAGACGTTCTCTCGTTAATTTTTTTCTTGGCAGCAAGTGACTTTTAATGGTGTTAGTTTTATTGTCACTGTTAACACATTGTTCACCGGTCACGTGTAAACTCGTGTTTGCGCTTGCAATATTTCTTTCAATTTATGAAACCAAGGCCAATATAGAAGCTCTGCTCATCGTGGTATGTATGTAAAATATTTCATTTCAATTCATTATGTTGGTAAAACATAAATAAAGTTTATTGGAGTTTATTTAGATCGTTTTAATTTCACGTTCAATTACGAAATAATAGCCGTTGACATGAAGTCGCTTCTGTGTAAAATTGCCGGTCAACAATAACCTATGTATCTGTCCATAGATATACACGTGCATCAAATAGGTTAGAATAGTTGTGAATATTTTTTGGAATTTTTCGGATTGAGTTGAGTCTAACTGTAAGGATAATAATTATTAAGTGGATGTTGGAACGTGAATTTCTCCATCTTATTCGATACGAATTCAAAGTTAGGTTCAAATAGCAGTAATTTCAACTGTGTTGGCACCCATAACTGCATATACAAGCCCTCTGAACGTAAATTTGACACTACCCCTACACTCCTAACCTGGCTCACTAAACGTCATAATATCTGTGAGTATCTCTCACAACGACGTCGACCCAGTTTACCTTGAAGCAACATTCCACCCCCGTCTAACAGTTTCCTCAGATCGTAAGCCACAATTGCCTCTTCCAGCAATAATAACGCGATTTAGGTGAAAATGGCGTCACCATAACGCGTCGGATGGAAAGCACGGCGCAAGCTCTCCACCGTATGGACATTTTCAATTATGGCGGACACATCACAAAGAACAAAATGGAGAGGCCCTCTCTGACCGGAGATTGTGCTCAGCAAGACTCATTTCCGGCCGAGGAGCGACCGTACTCCTCCGATTTACTTTCAACGTTCAAGGAGATACGCTTCCCTCTTCCCAACCCCCCCCCCCCCCCCCCCCCCCCCCGCTCGAAATCCTCATTCCACAGCGTTGAATCGTTGTTACCGACTAAAGCAACACCTGGCGACCATCTTTCTCCGTATCTGGCCAGTGCTTCCTCTTTCATCCTCGTTCCGTAGCGTATCTAATTAATGATTGTTTCAGGAGTTCTGTTGTTTGCTCCGGAGTCCTAGGCGGCTCGTGCTTTACTTTCCTCCCGGCACCATGGAGAAATTGCCTCGTTTAGGATTTAATTATTACACCAGCCCTCGTCCCTAGCTGCCAGAAGACGAATACGTCTTCAACCATTCACGTGGACTTTCTTTTCGCCATCGGCTGGAGGAAGGATTCGATGCTAAGACAACGAGACTGGAACGTACCGTGGGATATAATTGGAGAGGACGATGATGGAGGTTAATTGTTAAATTGAGGAGGTCAGAGCCAGGGAAACTTCATTTTGATGAATACGAGTTGAGATATCGCGCTACGAATAAGAACAGGGCGCTATTCAAGTTAAATCAAAACAAGATTGACTTTTGTCTGGTTCTTCGAGGCTTCGACTAATGTCTAGGGATATAGTTTGCATTAATTAGAGCGAGGAGTCGTGGTTATTATATTTGATGGTGTTACCTACAGTGATCTTGTCTTTGGGAAACTGGGAGTAATGAATTCATACAGAGTTATTAACACTTGGACTGCGAAAGGCGTATATGAGCTCAGAGAAAGGTTTATATTCGTTAAATCAATTTTTAAAAAAATATCAGTTTATAGGGGACGATGATATGAAACTTTTTTACATTTACAGTTTATTCATAGGACGCTTAGTTTCGAAAATAAAAATTGAAAAGTTGGAAGTTCGTTGCAAACATTGAATTTCAAGGAAAAAGGTGTTCTAAATGTTCAATTTCTATATCTGAAACAAAACGTCGTATGAATAAACTGTAAATATAAAAAAGTCTCGTTTCGTCATTCTTAATAAGGTGATATATTTATTTTTAAAATCCGATTGTTCGATTGTTGTTGTTTTTGTTTTTAAACAATAACAACAGGATCAGAGCACTACGAGATCTCATGAAAAAAGTCTCTTAGGTTTTTAATTTTTATTTTTGAAACAAAACGTTCTACGAATAAACTGTAAATATAAAAAAGTTCCGTCTTATCATTTCCTATAAGCTGCTATTTTTTTTTTAAAGGGTTAATAGTTGTAATAAGCTAAAAGAAGACGAGAATTTTACTTCAGCTACATGTTTATTATTTATATTTTTACAAATGCCTGTCAAAGACTCTCGATGTCTACAAAAAATATTTAAAAGTACGTAGAACAGCATTCTTCGTTTAATTTTGATTTTCAAGCGAAGCATCGCTAGTGAAAACTTCCCTATACGTTTTTCACGTGCTTTCCCGCGAGAAACTTCGCATCCCTTCATGTCCCATCGGGAGCCTCGTCGCAATTCGTGTAATTTTAAATATTTTCACAAGGCAGAACACGCGGCAGCGGGGTCTCTATCGTCGCAAACGGAATTAGAATTTTATTTACGCGATCCAAAGCTACCGAAGTGCCCGTGCATCGAGCTATTTGAGTTTGTAGAAAGAAGCCGAGTTTACCGTGGCCCTGATAAAAAGGAAAATTTTATGGCTGGCAAACTGGCCGGAGTGCACAGGACCTCTTCTGTTATTCTTTTTCCTCTGAACTGCGGAACTTCTGGCTGCCCCGTCCGGAAATAAAGCGACGCTCTGGTAGACAGAAAAGTTTCACTTCATCAACGTCAACGTACCACCGACCAGCGAACGTTTTTTGGCGAAAACTTGTTTCCGCCATACTTTTTCTGCCAGCGATGGATTATGTTTATATGGCAATGAATTCCAGTTTTATCTATTCCTTCGGTGGGCTTTTTGACATTATTTCGTGCCTTTTTTAGCTATAGGTCATATTTTACTTGAGAAATGTTTTTTGTTCAAATATAAATTGCTAAAGGTCAAGTCTTTCAATTCATTACCCTTATATTCATTTATTTAAAAGTAAAATTTGGAAACACTAAGGGACATCTAAAGTGGGTCGAATGTACATTGGTGACCCCAATGATAATTGTTGAAGAACACAAATATTTTTTAAGTCATGTAATAATAAGTAATATCTCTTATTGTAAACTGAACTCGTAAACAACGAGTCGTTATAAACTGACTCACTCATGTGCCTTATTACTTTCTTTACCAGTTCAGTTTATTTTAACTTCACACAATGAGATAGTATTTCATGTTCGTCATTTATGTTTCTACTGAAAAAGAATGAATACATTTCTACAACCCAATATCCACTCTACATAAAAAAATATGAAAATCCAATTAGATTTATAACCCGTTAAACAAATACCGTCAACGCTAATTTACAATAGCTGCAACATTCAGTTCGAGTAAAAATGGTATCGACACAATTCTCGATACCTGTAAATCAGTCGAATGAAAAAGCCAACGGCACGTTTTCGTTAAACGCGAGTTATACGGAACGTGAACGGGAAATGCTCGATTTTCCAATGTCCCCGCCATTTTGTAGCGCCGTTAAAAGTTTAATGCGATCGGCGCGATGCATTTTAATGAACCGCCTCGCGTTCGTCGCTGTGGGAGCGGTTAATTGGTAACAATGTTCGACGATGGCGACGGTAATATGTTTGCGATTGGTTGACGTTGTTTGGCCGGCTTGTATTTCATCGCGTCCCTTCGGGGGACGGAGACCCTCCGCGTCTCAGAAAGCAGTCGCTCCTTCGACTGTCGCGCATAATTGCATCGCTAATTCTACTAGACAAACACACGATTTCGTGGTGCCGTGCACTTAACAGCCCACAGAGGACGCGCCAATTATACGCCAGTTCAAAAACGGTTTAATATTCATCCCGTTGCGTGACCCGACGTTATTGCGACAACGGCGCGAAGAAATATGGCGGAAAACCTGGCGTGGCACATTATAACTCGATTATCGCACGAATTGTGCGTGGATGACACGTGGAAAATGTGCACGATGAGGCGTGCATACTTGATTGCAATGGTAATCCTGGTATCGATAGTTTTTATTTATTCTACTTCAGTAATTTAATTATTAAGAGGGTGCATGTGTGTGTATAATTTCAGATAAATTATTGCAATAATCTTATTAATAGTGAATGTTACTAACCCCTTATGGGCTCCTGTAACTTTCAGGTCACATGTCAAGATATCAACATTTTACAAAATAATTTTAGTTGTTTTTACAAGTTGACGAATACATTGTAATTATATAATGTCTCTGACAACCAATAACAATATTGACGACGATTAGCAGCACCACCATCCTGAAGTATCAAGGTAAATGCTTTGCTAGTTGTTTGCAGAACAAATATAAGGCCCACAGAGGGTTAATATGAAGGTAAATTTTGGTTAAAAATATTTGTTAAACTTGTTCTTGTTACAAGGCAAACTAGATAATTTGCAAAGGGGGTTGAAACCCTTTTTTTAACTGTTTCTTATTA